TCTCTAACATGCAGGCACTGTGAGATGCACAGGGGATCTGCTGGTATGGTTCCTGCCACCCTCCCCACCCAAACCTCAGTGCTTAATTGGGGTTTGTTGCTGATCTGCCTGAATGTGTGAATAGTGGATGGTCTGCTCATATCCCAGGCCTTTCTGATGCCCAATAACTTCAGTTCATTTCAATCTCTGAACAGGGATTTCTGTTTCCTTCTCAGGCTTAATATTTAGGTGAGGAAAAAGATTTGCATCAAAACCTTACAAAAAATGAAAAACAAACACATCTCGACAGGGTTCCAAATGCTGACTCCAGCCACACTTATTCTCCTAGAGGCCGCTTCATGTCATACTGGGGGTAGGAAGCATTTTCCAAAGCCTCTTGGAGGCACCAGACACTACTCCTTTGCTCTCAGTGAAAGCTACATGCAGGGTCCAATGTTCTTTGAAGTAAAACAATAAAAACAACAACATTCTTCCCTCACTTGGGAAATTAAAAGCACAGGATTAAAAAACATTACTGTGAAACCTAAATGCTTTCAAGCCCAATAGATGAGACTGCTTATTTAAAGAGTTAGACTTAACAATAACAACAGAAAACTTATAGATAATATTGAAAACAGTGATCATGATTCTACACTTGAAATAACATTTATCTTGGAAAAGGATGCCAATTATATACACATGTCCCCGACTCCTTCCTGTTACCCTCCTTGGCAGATATCATTAATCACTGACTTCTCTTTTTTTCTGATCTATCATATGACTTCAGAATCTCAGTGAAGAATTCAAGGCCATGACCAATGCATAGGAGATGATAAATGAGATGAGACTGGCATGTCTTCCTGGTGTTGTAATTTAGACTTAAATGTGCTCCTCACATGCATTATCACTCTAACCTAGGCTGTGATGCACTTACCACAATTCACAATGTGCATAATCATTCTCATAGGAGAAAACTAGGGCCCTAAGATATTAAGGCAATTGATCAAAATTACATAAGAAGTTGCCGAAGTGAGAGCTAAACTCTGATCTGCTCTGAGACAGCACAGGAGGGGACTGATATTTAGTAAGCTCCTTCTGTGTGCCAGGTTCTTATAAATTCTAACTCCTCTGGTCTTATAAATTGTGCCAATCTGTGGAATATTACTTTTCCCAATTTTCAGATAAGGAAAGGGGCATTGAGAGAAAGAAAACAACTCGCTCAAGGCCCTTATAGGCTGTAAGGGGGTTTGGATTTGAACCCACATTTCTCTGAATCTACAGTACCTTATTTTCCTTTACACCTGGCCTCACAGCTCCATCTTCTGCTTGCAGATAATACCACGTGGAGCAGAACATGGCAAAGGTGCTCAGAGGAATGGGATTAATGACAGCAGCAAGCTGAACATTGCTTCAGTGTTCCATGTTTAGAGGAAAGATTAAGTAAACACAGTTCCAGAACCACACCAGAATGTTTTGCAGCCATTAGAAATGGTCCATTATGTTGAAGCATACAAAAGTGTTTATCATGTAATATTAAAACATGTATATATACTGATTACATTTATGCAGATACTATGCATATGCATGAATAAAGAGTAAGGGGAAACACACACAAATGTCTTTTGGCTGGGATAGAGGATAAGATGTTTTAAACTTGCATTAAGCATAATGCATAAAACATTTTGTGTATCCCAACATCAAGAAAATTTGGCCAAAGAAAATAGACAAAATAATTACTCATTAAGAAATTTACCATTTCACTGCATTTTGTTTTGGTTTTATTCAAAATATGGTCTTCCATGTACCAAACTCCACCCACCAGCCATCCATTCAAGTGCTGTTTACTGGTGTTTATTGTGAATGAGATCTTGTGAGGCTCTAGAAATATAAGGTAATTGATCTGTCTTCAGTCTCCTCTGAGTCAAATGCAAGAGACAGACAGTTATTATAGAGGATCAAGCAAGAGATAGTCATAGGACCAGGAATACTGAGGGTGGAAAGAGACCAATCAAAGAACTTGTATGCATATACCCATAATGATGGACACAGACAATAGGGTGGTGAAGACTTGGGGTAGGGGGCAGAGGCGGGATAGAAGGGGTTAATGGGGAGAAAAGGGAGGCATATGTAATATTTTCCGATGGCAAATATATATATATATATATATATATATATATATATATATATATATATATATTTTTTTTTTTTTTTTAAAAAGAAATGAGTACAGAAAGGCAAACAGGCATGGAACCAGGGTGCAAGAGCTGGGAATAGTGCTATGTGGGTCTAGGAAGAGAGAAGAGAGACAGATGTCATGTTGCTCTAATGGGTTCCTGTACAAGGAAGAGGCTAGGTACATAGTAGATGCTCAATAAAATAGGACAACATACACTAACTGGGCATTTTATGTCCCTAGACTCTGTGCTAAGTCCTTTACATGAATCATTTCACTTCATCTTCATGCTAAACCCTATAAGGTGCAGATGTAACTTTTGGCAAAGTAGATTAAGGACCCAATAGTAGATGCGGAGTCTCCCATCAAGGCAAGGAAAACATGATCCAATTCCTATCAATATCTCCATTCTACATTCTTACTAGAAAAGCGGCAGAGTTTTGCTATGAAGCACCTAGATCCTAGAACAGCCTGTCCAAGTTCAAGTCACGGTTCTGCCACTTGGTGATTGATGTGAAGCTGGGCAACTGAATTCAATTACTCTCACGCTCTGCACTTGGCTCTCTTATGGAGATGGTGCTAGTGCCCAGAGGCCATTGTGAAGACTAGTTAAGTTAGGACATATATCTCCAGCACAGTACAGCATGCAGCAAGCTCTGCATTAAATGGTGGTCTTTGAAACGTTCCCGTATTGGCCTACCCATAAATAGTTTCCTTGTATCATTGTTGGGAGAAGGGCTGGTGCTCTTCTTATCCCTTTGCAGGTACTCTCTCCTCAGCCTTCCTAAGCTAGAATCAGAGAAGTGCAAGACCTGGGCATGAGCTGGGCTTTATTGACCCCAGGGTGAAGGTCACCATTTTACTGATGACAATAAGAGAAGCTAGAGGGAGAGAGAAAATTTAGCATGCATTCATTTGTGTTAAATGCAGCTAAAGTATATAACAAAGAATCAAGAGTCTAAGATCTCACCAGAGGGTTTGTGACCAAGTCTAGTCACAGCTTCCTCTGGGGATCAGCTAAGGACACACCATGTGGAACTTCTTTATCTGCCTGAGGAGAGGCATCTCCAGATGGTTGAAACCTAACCTCTCAAGGTCCCTGACAAGATGACATGCCAAGCAGTGTGGAGCAGCCCTATAAATTACTGCAGAGAGAACAACTCCACAGACTCTCACTTCCCAGGCCTTGCTACCCACTCCACTGTGCCAGCATCCCATGGGGGGGGGCAGGTCTGAATGCAGAGCGTGAAGCTTTGGGATAACATAGTCCCAGCTAACCTGGCTGGGAGCACTCACCTGTCAACCCATCAAAAACCAGGGCATTTTCTGGTTTCCCTCTGAGAACAACCTGGTTTGGATCTGTCAGAACAGCGAGGGTACTGAAGTGAGGTGGGGGATGTGAAGCTGACTGGCTCTTGCCATGCTTGGATTTGGCTTTGGGACGTCTAGGCTGGATACTAAGGGAGTCCTCTCCCTCTACCCAGGAGGAGGACTCTGCCATCCTCATATTTAACCAGAGCTTCCTAGCCCAGTAACTCCAAGACCTGACTCCCAACTAACTCTCTCCTGCCTGTCCTGGCTTCTCACTTCATGTCGCAGCATTATCAAACTGGTTGGCATTCCACCCCCAAGTCCATGCTCCTTCTTTTCCTTCAGATGGAAATGCCCTACCTGTCCTTTCTTCTGCTTTCCCTTTATTCATTCTTTTACATTCAATTCAAGCATTATCTCCTTCAGGAGGCCTTCTCTGATCCTTCTGAGATGTCTCTGTTTTGTACTTCCATAACTCCATCTGGAATCTTCTATCATGGTATTTACCATGTTGTACATAATGTTCTCTGTTTATGGGCCTGATCCTCATGGGAGTGAGTTTCCTGATGCCCTGAGCCATGGCCTTTGAGTTGTCAGCATCTAACAAGCACCTGGCACATGGCAATGAGTGGCATGACTTGAAAGCATTTGTCCAAATGACTCTTAATTGAAAGAAGAGAAGGTCTGGCCAAAGCATGCCAGCATTTGAACACACACTAGAACGATCATGAATACAAAACAAAATTCCCCAACCTGCAGAGCACTTAAAGATAAACAAATAAAAGCATAAGATTTAGGATGCAATGGGTGCCCTGGAGAAGTGAACACTAAACACAATATAAAGAACTCAGCAACTCAGAGGCAAAGGACTGTGGACCGTGGCCACCACCTTTTGATTGACTCTGGAGGGCAATGTTTACTTTATGAAGGAAACCAGATTTCTTGCCTACCATGTGACAAGTGCAATTCCACTAAAAACTGGTGTGACATATGCTATCCTGTTAGACCAAATACGGAGGCTGTAAGTATTAAGTAGGTAGTGAGTGTTTCCCTAACACTTAATTTTTTAAAATAAAAATTGACTTTATATTTAAACTGGAAAAATCTGTCACAATGTCACATAAGCTCTCTGGGAAGACTTAGAAATTTCTTCAAGGGCTCTATATGGAGGGCACACCGAATCTCTTCAGGATGAACTGCTCCTGGGTGGAGAGGCAGAACTTGTGAACTCCACAAGAGCACATTAGAAACTTGAGATGACCAAAAGGGACATACTACCAAAGCATCTGATGACAAACATTGCTTGCCTTTGAATAATTCATTCCGAGAGTGATACAAATGCACAGAGGCAGCACAAAGGCTAGGTTTGATGCTTGTTAATTTAATTCCTTCCTCTGTTCACACACACACACACACAAACACACATACACATATTCTGCTGTATTACCTCATTTTAACTCCTTTGTTCAAGAAATATATAAACCTGTAAAGGACTTTTCCAACTCACCAGGAGATACAATCATCACATTGGTCTTACCCTGAGGTAGTTGAGGGTGAAATTTGTTAGCCCCATTCTGGTGATGTTTTTGGACAGCTGATCCAGGACCTGAGGATCTTGTGCCTAAACAGGAAAAAAAAAAAGTCATACATTTTATCCCTGCAAGATGGTCTCAAGAAAGTCTCAGTCTGCACTACAGCTGCTAAGAAATGCAATCTTGACACTGTGGGTTTTCCTTAGAGGGCCAGTTTGCTGGAGATAATTTAATTTACATTTCAAGACACATGCATATAACGCTCAAGGACACTTGTGGACCAACAGTGCTTTCACATCTGGGGAGAATCAACTTCACTTACTCTATGAGAGGCCCTGTGTCTTTAGGAGAAGGGATGTGAAGACCCGCCAGGACACCTCTAGGTCCTTTCTGGTTATTTGGCTGGTATTTATTAAACCTCTCATGTGCCAGGAAGAGCTGGTTCTATATAGTGATGCATCAGGTAGTCGTGCTCCACATCAAGGAACTTACATTGTAGTCAGACAATAGGAGAATAATAAATAAAGGGAAATATGTGGTTGTTACTGCTATAAGCCACGTGTCACACTTGCAGAGGACCTTCTATGTGCCAGGCACTATTCTATGGTCTTTAGATGCACTGACTCATAGTCCTCAAACCAATCCTCCAAGATAGACTCTATTACTGTACTGAGGTTATAGATGAGGGATTAGAAGCACAGCGGTGTCATGTCACTTGCCCAAGGTCACACAAGAGCTGAGATACAAACCCATGTGATCTCATTCCAGGCCCAGATTCCTGACTCTATTTTGAGAATAAGAAGAATGGCTACTCAGATTGCTTTGAGGAGATGTGAAGTGGGCTTTAAAAATAGAGAAAACTTGGGTCATGAGAGGCTGAAGCAGTGGAGAAGGATAGTGGGAGTATAGGGGTGGTCAGAGAAGAAATCTTAAGGGCAGAGATCTGGTTAATGAGTCAGGAGGAAAGGGTTGAGGACAAAAGCCTGGAGCTGGATAGTTGGGAGACAGTTGGCTTATCAGACCAGCTTTGGAAGTCAGAGCCAGCTGAGTTGAAATTTTTTTTATTTGTTATTAATTTTTTTTACAGAGAAGGAGAGGGATAGAGAACTAGAAACATCAGTGAGAGAGAAACATTCACCAACTGCCTCCTGCACACCCCCACCGGGGATGTGCCCACAACCAAGGTACATGCCCTTGACGGGAATCAAACCTGGGACCTTTCTGTCCGCAGGCCGACGCTCTATCTACTGAGCCAGACTGGTTTTGGCTGAAATCTTGATTTTACCATTTTCAATCTAAAAACCATTGGGCAACTGAGTGAACTTCTCTAAGCCTCAGTTTTCTCACTTCTGAAATAGGAATAATGAATGAAAACTCACTTCTCTAAGTTACTGGAGGAGTTAATTATGATGTTCATACAATGTTCATCACAAAGCCTGACATAGAAAACACCCAACAAGTGCCAGCCACAGTTAACTTATTCTCTTTTGATTATCTGGGGGTCTTAAAAATCAGGCTCAATAAGTGATTTTGCTCCCAAACTTTTTCAAGGAAAATGCTGTGTCATCTATGCAGGAGGAGGGACTTAAGTCAATGCCTTTTGACTCCTTCAGAGACTGTACCTGACTAGCTCCCATCAATTCTTCCCTCTAAAATATGTCTCTAGATTGGCATCGAATCCATCCTTGCTCTTAGCTGGTGTTCAATAAATCTGATGTGATTTATGTCCAATGGAAACCAAGAGAACCCCAAATATCTCAACTCATTCCAACATTGGTTCAAAAGGGACAATTTCTGTGGACACAGAGATGAGGTCCATGAGCTCCATGTCTCCTCATATGGTTCTAATCAAAACTGGAAACTGTTTTTTCTTACTTCTTATTTTATTTCTTCCCCCGATTATAAATAACAGGTTTATTAGCCCGGGCAGAGCATTACTGGATAATGACCAAACTGAATTAAAAAAGAGTACAAATTGTTTATTGAGGTAACCTCAACTTAAAAGTTTAAAATAATAAAGTTTCAAAAGAAAAAAAAAGTCTCAGAATTCACCACACTCAAAATAATGGAGGAGAAAAGGGGCCTCTGGATGAGGGAAAAACTCACACATTTAGAGTTCATTATATATAGTCTGAAGACTACTAGAGCTCTTTCACAGAAAAACTGCACTGCTCCTCTAGAATGAAATGAGGGGTAATAAGGAAGAGAGTGGAAGAGGAAGGAAAGCACTTACATGCATGGCGAGAATACTTCTTGGGACCAGCTCTCTGTATTGTCTAATGGTAAAGTGCCATGTTTTTATTCTCATGAGATCATCAAAGGTGAACTCCAGGATCAGTCTGCCTTCTGTACACACCTAGACGAGACAAATGACAACTCATTGGTTATGCACTTTGAGAATGCCGTATTTTTGTTTTGGAGAATGAGTGATTCTTATTTCCATAGAATTACATCCCTGGGTTTCCAAGGCTCCATTTCCCTTACTCCAGTCCTAGAAGAAGTGTACCATATTTTCCGGCGTATAAGACGACTTTTGAAACAAAAAAAAGTCAACCGGGCTTTTTCAGTGGTCTGAATTCAGGTCTCAGCAGAGGGAACAGAGGAAAGAGGATGGATAGAAAGCACCTCACTTGGAAATCTAGGATGGCACTATACCACCGCCCTACCAGGCTTTTTACTAGAACACAGTGTAGCTTCGGGTACAGAACATGTATAATTTGCATGCATAAAAAGCCTGCTTGGATTGGCCGGAGTCAGAGAGGCGGCCTATTAAAAAAAGAACTGGTGTTGCTTCGGAAGTGGGGGGTAGTCTTATACAGTGAATGTAGGCCTAAACCTGTGTTTTAACTGTAAAAAAAATAATAATAAAAATTAGGGGGTCGTCTTATACACCGGAAAATACAGTAATTGGGATTTGGGGAGAACTAAAAACAAAGATAGTGTCCAGAGTATGGGTTCCATCTTGTAGCTGGACCCAGTTTAACATCAGGCTCGTTGTAGTCCATTACCCCATTGTGTGTGGGTGAATGCCAGGAAGAAGGAGCATGAGGGCCCCACAAGCCAGGAGTCAATCAAGAGCCAAGAGTGTGAACTCCATTGTTCAGGGAATTAAGTATCCTGAATCTGCCCATGCTTGCAGGGCCAAGCCCATTCCAGCCAATGACCTATTCCCAGGTGTGACTGACAGAAAACACCTGTAACTTTTCTGGGAATGGGTAGTCTATCTCCCACATGTCCATTCCCTTTCCTAGCGATCTCCTGGGAGTGAATGCATGGCTCTCTGGGTAGTGTAAAGCTCCATCTTCCTGGCAAAGCTGCCCAAATGACATGCCCATAATATTTGGCCTTCCCTTTGCTCCTTTCCTGTTATTAATAACTAGGTTAATTACAACAGTATTTCTCTCTCCCTTTCTTCCGCTTTTTCTTCTTCCCTCCCTCTCTCCCTCCTTTCCTCCCTTCCTTCCTTCCTCCCTCCCTCCCTCCCTCCCTCCCTCCCTTCCTTCCCCTTCTTTGCTAGCAGTATCATCTCTTTTCTTTCCTGTTACAGAGTGCAATGAAGCCCGCTAGTAGAATTTATTTATCCCCTTGACTCTGACATAGTAACCTGCACTTCCTAGTGTATATCACTTTCCTTTACTGAAAGAGAACGCTGTATTTTTGCAACTCACATGTCAGTTATTCAACATGGCCTCCCTGACTATCCTCGGGTGGCTCTGGATCTTGACAAAATGGAACACAAGTGGCTTATCCATGGCATACTGAGGCAGGTACAAGCTCAAGAGTCAGTAAGATCAAAGGGCAGTGTAGCTGCTTATCTCATGTGGTCTATTAACGACCATATCAGCAGCAACTAAAACCTATTCCTCACTTGTAAATAATGGGCACAAAACTCATCTTACAGTAAGATTATTTCCAAAACCCATGCATAGAATATGGACCCCACAAAGTAGTATCCTATCAACTTTTTTTCTTCCCACTTTCATGATCCTTTGACAATAGGAGTTTGAGCTGTTATTCTAATTTTAATTAATTCTACTTTGGGAGAAAGCATCTAATAAAATTATTTATGCTTTAGTGTGAGACACTATAAGTTACCCAACTAGAGGTTCTCATTTCCAAAGAGAAAACCCAGAGGGCGATGCTAAACCCAAGTTGTGGGTATCAGTTACTTACATAAAAGTTAGAGCATATTTAGAGTCTATTCCTTAAATTGTGTTGTATCAATAATGACAAATTCTGCTTGCATAAATAGCCAGCCTTTTGGGGGTGTGTGGAAAATTTATCTTTCTAAGAAAAATATATATCATTAATAAAAATACTTATTGAGCTCTCTTCCTTGATAGACTGATTAATGATAGGGGAGCTTTTCAATCTTCTTTTGATATTCAAATCATTTTCCCCATGGAGTTATTATTTTATTTGCCTTTATTTTCACTGTTAATGACTTTTAAATGGAAGAAAATACTAGGCACTCCCTCACCACTGAGCCTATTTTGACTATACTGGTAAGATAGGCAGTGGTGGTCACACATTTGTCCAGCTTAAATCATTACCACTCATTATTCAGCCCATGCTGGCCTCAGAGTAGCAGTACAACATACGGGATGGAGGCTTGCACATCAGAAAGTACTAGATTCGAATCTTGATTCTACTTTTCACTCATTTTGAAACTTTGGGAACATCAGACTCCCTAAATTCTAGTTTCTTTATATATAAAATGAGGATAAAAACATCCTCAGACAGGGTTGTTGGAAAGATACGTTAAAGGGAATTTTGTATGTAGACTGCCTAGGATTGCAGCAAGTACATATTTGGCTATAAACAACAGCTCTAATGATAAAAGAAATGCAACTGAAGAACACAGAATCATAGGCCAGTAGGGCTATCTGAGATGTAGTGGTTCAGGAGAGCTATCTCGGGGGCTCTGCTTAGAAGACCTTGGGGTCCACCTGGACTCCCAGATCCCTTCCCATCTTCTAAATTCAACCAGAAACTTCAGTTTTATTTGTTTTCACACATTAAGCTTCTGATCAAGCTTTTCCAAAGAAAGGTTTCCTATGCTAAAAACAAACACATAAAACTTTGGAAATCACTGTGCTACCCAAGGCTTTGGAAAAAACACACACAAAACAACCACAACAACCACACACATATAAACAAACAACAAGCTCAATAGGGAATATGATCATTTCTAAAACTATAGCTAAAACTATTGTCTGTGAATGTATTTAACAATTTATATCAACCTTTTATAAAATATTAACACTCATTTTTCCCTCTGGGAATTTAATACACAAAAGCCACCATACTGAGTTCCAATTATGTCCTAAGCATTGAGTTCTGTGCTTTTGGCTGACTCTAATGTAAGGTAGTATTTTCCTTAAGCAAGCTGCAAAGACCAGCACAGGAGAACTAGCAATGTGTGTTGATAGGGCACTACTTAAAAAAGATGCTATGAATGCCTGCCATTTTCATTTTATCAAAGGTCTCAGAAGCACTGTAAGATAATTATTGATAATCTGGGTGAAGACCCCTAACTCAAATCCAATTAGAAAAATCTGTGGGTAATTTCAGGCATTTGGGCACCTTGCCCCCACACTCCTCAGATGAGTGTTCTTCAGAGCTTTGTTTCTGATCTTAGCCATGTCAGTGTAGCCCCCGGAAATAGGAAAGACTTTAGTGTCCCCCAAACCACTCCCTAGAGCATCTCAGCATTAGAATTAATTTACCAAGGGTTTCCAAGAGTTACACGGAGATTAAGCCCCATAACCCCCCTGGGTGTTAGCATGACAGAAGCTACTTGCAGAGAAGGTTTTCACAATAAGGAGGGAACCATAGCCAGCAAGTGATGGGGAAATACCTTCGCCATACACAACGGAAATATTTGGATGCTATAATCCTGTTTTGATTTCCTTTAAGAAAGAGGATTATTGGGTGTTTAAATAAATATTAGCCCAGTTAAAGTTGTGCTTCTAAATGATCTAATCTATTTATTTTGTGTTTAGGAACCACAACGCAGATTAGAAGGAGGTTCTGGTTTACCGGTATTGGGAGAGAATATAATGGGAAGACCTGGATGTGGTCTTTCCCATGAATGCCTGGATTAGAGATCTGGAAGGCCAAGTTAAATTGTGTCCTTTGTTTTCTGTGAGATCACCTACCACACTGGTCGAGGACACTGCTTGCAGTCCAACTGTCATGGGGGCTACAAAAGGGAAAGTTGCAAGCAGCCTTGGGCTCCTCCTTTCTCAGACCAAACTAAGGAGTCAGTTTATCCAGGGCAGATCATATGCAATAGCATAGACTTTAGGATTGAGTCTGAGTTGACGATGTAGGGTGCTTTTCTAAATGAAAGACTGTAAGAAGTTTGGTCACTGCTGGTCTTCCCCAGGTAAGTATACCCACAACCTCCTCCCAAGACCTATGAAACCTCTCCGCCTCCTGCCCCATTCTTGGAAGTTAAAAGAAATTGAAATCTTTGTGATTTATTTTATAGGCAACAATCAGCAAATGGAATGGAGGCACTTTATCTCTCTCTCTCTCTCTCTCTCTCTCTCTCTCTCTCTCTATATATATATATATATATATATATATATATATATATATAATAAAAAATGGGCATAGCTTAAACAGGAGAATGAATGTTTTCTCCCTTTAGAAAAATTCTCTGCATTCCTCTTAATCAATACAATTAATGTAGCTTTTATCTAAAGTTACCATTTTTTTTTTGAATACTGCCTTTCACTTGGCATCCAAAATCAAAAGGGTCCCCAATTAAGAAAACATTTTCTGTTATGCCGAATTCATGTTACCGTGCTATGAGCTCTGACATTTTGTTTCTGTGGTAACCAAAATCAGCTGATTAGTTGGCATGGCAACCGAAAAGATGTAATCCCAGCAGACACACTCTAATCAATGCCCCCAGCACAGATGGTCTCCGGAGGATCAACAAGAAAGAGGCTGGCAGGCATTCAGCATGTCACGTGCTAGCTTGAGACTAGGCCAGGGAAGAGAGAACTAAAAAAGAACATTTCTCAAACTAACTGGTAGCTTTTTAACCCTTTTCTTTCTCTGACTAATTGTGAAGCAATATGGACCATGTAGTTACATATATAATACAATACTCATAGAGATTTTATGAAATAAAATGTGCTTTTTTAATGTGTATTTATTTAATTGTCTTGGTCTTAATGCCTGAAACAGTATGCACAGAATGGTGCTATAATAATTACTATTTTAGTTAGTAGATTACTAGCTTATTATAAAAGGACACAACTCAGGAACAGTCAGCTGGAAGAGATGCAGAGGGCAAAGTATGTGGGAAGGGATAAGGAGATTCCATACCCTGAGAGCTCCACTCTCTCCCAACACCTATGGGTTCACCAACCAGCAAGTACTAATTAGTGCTTTTAGGTTAACAGTTGCAAAAAGCTCATTGTATTTTACTTAGAGACACTGTTTGTGTAAAAGCACATATATGCATATATTAAAGCAATATGGTTATTATCTGTAATAATTTGGTATTCAGAATAAGAGTACAAAGTCCAAATCCTGGAGTGGAATGTGGTATACAGTGGCTCAGGGTAGAATGATGAGCTAATGGTCAAAGACAAGAGTAAGTATTCAGATAGCACTTCCCTGATATCTGGCTATAGTGGCAAACCATTTCATCATAAATAATTGATAACAAAAAACAAATAAGTCTGTGTTTAAAGAAGTGATAAAGGTGTTAATGGCTGTAATTATTGTTCTAGTTTGTAAAACTTAAAAGTCACCCAACACATACCCCAGAGAGGGCTCATCTCTGCACTTGCCAGTATTGCACTATTGCTATACAATTTGAGGGTCTTTGATTGTAAAAACTTTGGTGATTGCACTTCTGATATTAAGCCTTGTTTTCTGTTTGTTTTGAAATTGAATACAGAAAAGAAAGGCTTCCTAATGTGTGTTTTAAAATTCTAATTACATATTTATCCATTATCTATAATGTTGCAAGGCTCAGGAAATTGCAAAATGTGTACTATGCTCCTGAGGAATATTAAGTGTTACTGTTGATTAGGACTGTGGCAGATTTTTGATTCACCAGTTGACCAAATTTTCATAAAAGCAACTCAGAACCACTGGCTCAAATGCTACTTGGGGAATTAGAGCTTATTGATAGTCTAAATTAGGACAATGTGCTAAGTAATGCCATGTACTAACTAATAGCCAGTTCCCCCCCAAAAAAAACAAAGCATCAGCTTCCAAACTATTTCTTTCTGTCACACCGAAAGTTCATTAACTCGCTGTTTTATACTAAATAGCCTGATTATTTTCTGACATAGAGATGAGTTATTTTTAATTAACATAAGAACAAAAAGAAAAATGGGAAAGGTTCTTTGGGTTGTATAATAATGACTAAAGAGGAAAAAAAAGAGAACTTCAAATGTTCTAAAAATAAATGTGTATAATTAGAATCTGGATGAAGTCCACATAGCTAAGCTACATTTCCCAGAAAGTAATATTTCTCATCACAGTATGGAAATATTCATTACAAGATTTGGCAAATGGTTTTGCCATGGAGGATAATCAAATGGGTGATCTAAAGAATTGAAGATAGCCTGGCCTGTGTGACTCAATAAATTGAGCATCATCCCATGGACCAGGAAGTTTAGCATACATGCCTGGGTTATGGTCTTAATCCCCAGTGAGGGTATACAAGAGGCAGCCTAACCGTGATACTTTCTTATTGATTTTTCATTCTCTCCCTTTCTCTCTCTGAAGTCAATAAAAACATATTTAAAAAATAAAAATAAAATAAAGACTTGAAGCTTTAAGCTGGGAGAGCTGGGTACATGAGAATGCACAGGTCTTCTGGGGGCAATGCCTTGGATGCCTACTCAGACATGTGAGAGGGGAGCATTCCTGAATGAGGAAGAATGCAATAGAGAAAACCCTAGTTTCTTCATTAGAATTAAAAACAAAACATAAAAAACAAAAAAACAAAACAAAAAAACGCTACCACTTTATCGATTCACCAGGAGAATGGGACTCTTTAATTTTAAAATAGCCCAGAATAAATAGCACTACATCTTCAGAGCAACTGACTATTATCATTTATAGAAGAGTTTTGGCCTGAGAAAGCAAGCAAGCAAGGAAATATATATAAAAAGATCCCTGCAAGATACATGTGTCTACCAATGGCCACAGGTTTTGTAAATATCTCCATTATGGCAAAAATTTTACTTAATTATCATGGAACCCCCTCCTCACCCCCTTAAGGCATAAGAAATTTGGATGTTTTTCTTTAAATAAGTACAAGCAACACTAAGTTTTAACAAAAATCTATAATAATAAAAGCATAATATACTAATTAGACCAGACGTCCTCTGGATGACCTTCCGGACGAAGCCACAGCAGTGGGCATCCAGGCAGAGGCAGCTGCCAGGCAGCGGGGGCTGAGCCCCTTACACAAATTTCATGCATCAGGCCTCTAGCAACAATAATAAAGATCACGAAGCAGCAGAGAAAGGCTTCCTCTGCAGTGTTGGACTTTGCAATACTAGATGTGAGGACTGGGGATCCCTCTGATCTACAAGATTAAGTGTTAAATCTCCAAAATGAAATGAGACATAGACACATTAAACCATCACCCAAGGGATCATGCCTTTCCACAGAGCAAACTCTTCCCAGCACCAGCTCTGCACACAGTGGGAAACTTTGTTGTCTCTGAAGGACAATTTTCCTCTCTGCTCAACTGTCAAAGAGGAAGAAAGAGAAAAATCCAGCTTCCGCCCCCACATTTAAAATGTTTATTAGCCAAGGCAAGAGATCATATAATCAGTGGCATCTGATGATCTGCTTTTGCATTTTATAACCTTTCCCTTTGCCTTCAGTTTTTTTCATACCATTATGAACAGCAAAAAGATAAAACTGAACATACAAGATCAAGGAATACTTTAAATAAATAATAAACACTTTATTTTTATTCTTTCGGCATATTGTGTATAAGCAACAAACACATGTTCTTTTTATAATATGGGCTTTTGCATTAACCCTTATAATTCAACTTCCCTTAACAATAAAGAGGGTGTGGCCACTTGTGTTTTAATGAAAAGTTATAGCTGCTATCATTCATATTAAAAATTAATTTCACATTGAGTCTTAGTCAAAATGCAATGAACCAATGTTCATTAAAATAAGCTTCTGTGCCTGGCTGGTTAACCACTGACTCATGAACCAGGAAGTCATGGTTTGATTCCCAGTCAGGGCACATGCCTGGGTTGTGGGCTCAATCCCCAGTAAGGACCATGCAGGAGGCAGCCAAATCAATGATTCTCTTTTGTTATTAATGCTTTCCTCTCTCCCTCTTCCTTCCTCTCTGAAATAAATAAAAAATATATTTAAAAAATAAGCTTCTGTTTTGCCAGATTCTATGACTAAATATTTGCTCTGTTTTGCCAGATTCTATGACTAAATATTTGCTCTTGCTATTTTTCTACTTGGGAGAAGATATAAAAGGGTTAACTCTAATGTTCAGGAAAGGTCTTTGTCCAGAGGAAGTACTCCATATGGTTATTATCTATGCATGGGAGAGCTCAAAGGTGGAGTTTTTTTCTTTTTCATTTCAAATCCTTCATAGGGCCTTGAATTCTGCCTCAAAATTTTATCTGATCCTCCTCCTCCCCTCCCCATATTTCTCATTCTCGCTCTCACAACTTCTTGCTTACTTGCTAATCGACCAATCATAAAACTTCTCAGAATTTGGAAAAATCACCTTTAAGCTCCAAATTTCCTAAATTCTTTTATATTTTTATGTTCCTTAAAGATTATGGTTAGTTGAATTATGGTAAGTTGGATTGTCCTCCTGAATTTAGCTTTAAAAATGTTTAATTTCAGTAACATATAGAATTTCTTCAGCAACTAATGGTATCATGACAATTATTGTGATTCTATGTGGTCTTTGGATAAACTAGAGTGTATCTCTGAAACAGACGATCAACACTGGGAGAACGTTTTCTTACCTGTTTGATCGTTTGCATAAAAACTAACATTCTAATTTAATAACCTGGGTTTAATAGGCAGCTGACCTTCTCTTGCCCTTAATTTTGAGGTTCTATCATGCTTGACTCCACCTTACATGCCCACAACTGAGAACAGTGTTCACCAAGAGTCTAGCCGTGTTGCAAACATAAAAGATCACTTCACAGTACTGAAAGTGTCTAAGATATGAGAAAGCAGTTCAAAGTTCCAGAAGAAAGCTTCTATTATTATCCTTAACCTAGAGGCCCGTTGCAGGAAGATTCCTTCAATAGGGCTGCCTGCTGTGGTCGCTGCCCTGCCTGCTTCCCTCCCTTCTCCCCAGGTCCACTTGCCTCCCTCTCTTCTCCCCGCAACTCCCTGCTTCCCCCTCTTTCCTCCACAACCCCGCTTGCTTGGTTCTCTGGAGCTTCACGCCCTTCTGCAGCTCTATGCTATCTTCAGTCTTTGCTCTGGCCTAGATATGCAAATTAACCTCCATCTTGGTTGGGTTAATTTGCATACTCCCTGATTGGCTGGTGGGCATGGCATGTGGGTGTAATGAAGGTATAGTCAATTTGCATGTTTCTCTTTTATTAGACAGGATGCACACAGAGAAGAACAAACCATGTTGGAGATGGCCCCTTACCTTGGTAAACATGGGCTTCCCGTGCTGGGTGACCATCGCACACTGGTCACAGTCCACTGTGATGGACGAGTTGTGGTACGATTCCTTTGAGTGTTTGAGAATGTAATACAGGTCAGTCACCCCTCCTTCAAACACAGTGCTAAAGTAGCGGGGGATGAGGGTCCTGCCGATAGCTGGGAGAGAAACACAGACAAACAAAAAATGAATGAAAATTATCTGGCTGGTCTAACACACCCCGTCATCGCAAGATGGCAGGAGGCAAATTTCTCTTTACAAATAGCCATGACCCTTCTGGGTTATAGTTTATAAAATGAAATCCTCAGCTATTCAGACAAAAATTTGTACAGTCATCTCTCCAGATTTTGTGTCCTTTGGAAAGTCAATAGTGGAAGAGGTAGTATTTCTTAAAATTTATCTTCACTGTTGAAAGTATTAGAGATCTTCCCATTTTTCCTCATTTACCTCCTCTAACCCACCTCCACCCCTTACCCAGGTCTTCCCCACACTATTTCTATGTCCATGGGTTATGCATGTATGCATATAAGTTCTTTAGTTAGTCCCTCCCCAAACCCATCTCCACCCCCACCTTCCCTCTGAGACTTGTCAGCCTGTTCCATGCTTCTATGTTTCTGTTTTATTCATCAGCTTATTTTATTTATTAGATTCCACAAATGAGTGAGATCATGTGACACTTGTTTTTATTTTTTAAAGAATAGAAACAAACACATTGACTACTTTGGACCTCATGTATGTTCTCTAAATGAACGTATTTTCCCAAAATAAAACACACCCAACCCACTTGGACTTTTTAATAGATTGCTTACAGGCCATTTATTCAATCATGTTTTAGTAGTAGTTGTCATAATAATAAAAATTTTAATAATGTAGTGCTTAATTGTGTGTGAAGAATTTTGGCATTCAGACTTGGATCTTCAGAACAACCATGAGTGTAGGAGGCTGAGACAAAAAAAAAACCCACACACACAAAAAAACATGTTATTATGGAAAAAAAAAAGGTTATTAGAAATGTTTCAAAGTCACATAACTTGTGAGTAGAAAATTGGGGTCTTTAATTCCAAATCTGCAAATACACAAATAGTCATTCTTTCTAACACTGTGTCTTAAACTGCTTTACTGAAGGAAAATCTTTAAAAAGTGAGCTGTACCTGCACATACAGAGATCCATACCTATGTCAGTACTGACTATTCATTCCGTCTGCTTCTGGAGTTGGCCAGAATATCTTTCTAGGATAAAAGGCCCATTTGAAGAGAATTTGGTACCTTCCACTTGGTCTAAATTGGTCTCCTTTATTCCCTGTGCCCTGTCCTGCCCCATTTCAGTTGAGCGATTGTTAAGTAGCTGGTTCTCTCTGATATATGATGCTTAGAAACAGCTAACAAGTCCTTTGCTTCAGCAGAGATTTTAAATCCTCTTACACTGAAAATCCCAACTCATAATATCAGGAATTTTGCCTATGTGCAGATTTGAGGCAAAGTACTAAAGCACCCTCAAGGGGTCCCAGGTTTTTAATAAATCTCTTACATTCCCTATACAAGGTCTTCTGAAAGACGAAAATAATATTTAAAATAAATAAATTACCAAAGAGAGCTTTAGTGGGAAAGATCATGCAGTCTTCACTTGGATGTTTTAAAATGTTTAACTTCATTTTAAAAGAATCAGTATTAAATCTATTCCTTATGGATCTATATCTCTTTTGTACACGGACTAGGGAAAAACACACTATAAAAAGAATACTCTGCCAAACAGTTTTCTGAAATAATATCTAAAGAATCCTGACATGGGTGACTGGTCTCTGAATAATTTATAGAGTTGTTATTGCTTCATATTTACTGCAGTTAAAATCAATCAACAAATATGTTCTACATATTCCTGGATCTTTGGCAATTCTATCTTCAATAATCCTTATACATTCATTTTCTAAATCCTACCTAATCCCCAATAGCACATGTTCATTCATTAAATACAAAATTCAAATAAAGAGTAATTTGAGTCCACCATAAATATACACATGGCTTATATTGCAAAGAAAACTTGGTTAATGCGAAAAACCTTATTATACAGATAAAATTAATTAATGCATTAATTTAGCTAAACAGATAAAATTAATTAAATGCATTTCAAATATTCTAACTTACAACTAAATACCACAAAATAGTGCTAGTAATTTGACATTTTAGGGACCTGTACTGTGGAGAATAAATACAAACCATAAAAAAGTAGAAGCAGGGTGAAAATATTTCACCACAATATCCAAGAAATGATTCCAGTAAAAAGGCTACTGGATTAGACACATTGAAGTTTATTCATCATGAATCCTGCACAATTTAATTCCTTTGCAGTCGCATTTGCTATGTATCATCATCATTTCCATTCATAGTGTAAGAAAAATTGAATAAGAAAAAGTCAGAGATTCCTAAACTTTAAACCTAAATTATTAATCAGCTCTCCAACTCTAGAAAATAGTACAAACTGTATGAGAAAGATACCTAGCGGGAAAGGCAGCTTTGCTTCATGCAGTACCTTCTAGCACTCTAGGAAATGGTTGCTATGGAAACCTGAGATTTGTTTGCAGCCCTTTTCTTTTGTGGGACTGTCCCTAGCATTTTCCCCATGGTCCTGTTTGGACCCTCACTCGCACAGCCCCGTTATCCACCGTAATGCATTCTGGGAGTCCCACTGAACCACGGCAATAGTAGTCATGTCTTTGTGTGTGCAGCCTCCTCTCCTTAAATGTGGGCTGGGTCCTGTGGTCTGAATGTAGCACAGGTGTCCTGTTGCCAGTTTGGGGCTAACCTTAATAAAGACTAGAGGCTTCTCCTTTGTGCTGGGGGCAAGTCATTGAGATGCACAAAGTTCAACTATGGTAAGACTGCCACAGTGCAAGAAACCCAACCTAACCGTGTGGGACAGTCATGTGAAGGAGAATTGTGTCTTGCAGCCCCAGCTGACCTTCCAATCAACAGCCAGCACCAACTAATTTGTGTAAGTGAGGCCGTCGTGGGAGGTGAATGTTTGAGTTCCCATCGCGCTGCCTCAAGCTGATGTCACTTGGAGCAAAGATGCGCCACCTCCCATATGCTTTGCCCACATTGCAGAATTACTGGTAAGTAAAAGCAGTGTTTGTGTTTTAAGCTAACATGTTTTGGAGCCCCCTTTTAATGTGCCGGTGGATAATCATAACAGCCTTGCAAATCCCTAGGGCAAATTGCTATTTTTCTCTGAAAGAGGGCAGTTTTGTCACTGAAAACTCATGAATATAGGAATATAGGAGCTCCCATCTAGAGGAAAGCAGGCCAGAGAGACAGAGGGCCTTTATGGACTGATTGGGCCCTCATCTTATCTGGGACTGAAGGCAACTTTCGTCCTTGGATGTCCCACTTTTGTGAGATGTGCCTGCTCCCCTCTTTTTTTTAAATAAATAAAAAATTAAAAATTTAGTCGAGTAAACTGGGATTAGCTTTCTGTTTTTTGCAAACAGAGGAATCCTAATTCATGTTGTCCGTCCTGTTCCAGCACAGAATAAGGGAGTGAACACTGAGCTGAAAGAAAGCGATGAGAATGAGAATCTGCAAATGATAAGAGTCTCTCTTTGTATCAGAAGTTGAGAGGATAAAAGGGTGCATCAGAGACAGTATTCGTTTTCTACTCGCACTAACAAATGATCTCACATTCAGTGACTTAATTTCTATTTGTTTATTACCTCACACAGTGTCCCGACAACCTGACATGGGTCTTGCTGGGCTAACAGGTGTCAACAGAGATACCTTCCTCTCTAGAGTCTCCAGGAGAGAATCCCTTTTCCTGCTTTTTCCCAGCATCCAGGCTGCTGCCACTCCTCAGCTGTGGCCCTTCCCACAGCCTCACACGCAACAGTGGTCATGAATCCTCATGGGGCATCACTCTAGCTCTCTCTGCTGCCTCCCTCTTCCATTTTTACAAACCCTCGTGGCTGCCTTGTACCCACCCAAATGACTCAAATAAGGATCTCAAGGTCCTTATTCAGGTCTGCAAAGTTCCTTTTGCTAGTAAGATAACACAGTCACAGGCTCTGGAGATTAGCACTGAACATCTTGGAGGGGGGCAATTGTGTTGCCTTCCACAGAGATTATCTTTGCCAAAGAGCTTCTGTTTTGCAAGGGAGATTAGTAAAAAATATAACTTGTGCGTGCGCGTGCACACACACACGCACACACACACACACACACACATGCATGCACACACAATGAACAATATACAGATAGTGTGCAGTGAATGGGAGAGACAACTGAAAGAAAAACATCACATGTGCATGAGAAAGTCACTCTGCAGCTTATTCATTGATTCTGTAAACATTCACTGAGCCCAAAGTAGGTGCAAAGCTCTTTGCAGGTGCTGGAAACACAAAGACAGACACTGTCCCTATCTTTTAAACGCACCTCTACCAAAGGAGTTAACAAACATCTAAGTATCTATAATACAATGTGGCAATAAAGCTAAAAAAAACCCCCAAATTTGTGATTTTGAACTCTTTGCCAGTTCCTTCTGATGCCTGAATTCAAAGTACAATTGTATTATTTTGAAGCCCTGAGAAGATTAAAATGTCCTTTTAATTTCATAAATCTTGCAACCACACTGCACAGCCTAATACAAATGACTTTAAATCAGTAGACATTTCAGATTTAGCTCTGGTGATCCCCTAGAACTCATCAGTCACACCAAGTCTAAATCTATTTAAATGTTATATTGTCACATTCATATGCTAGACATATACTTTGCATTTGTACTTTAATTCTTGGAACTAAAAATAATTTAAATATTGATATACCTAAGTCTACATTGTGTTTCCATGTAAAGAATTACATTTCACAAATATTCCTGATGAGAGATTAAGACTATAGGAGATTATAACAGAGATTCTGTTTTTCTGACACATTTGGTCAAAACTCCAAAAGTTAGAAAGGAGAAGTAAGGTGAGCAAGATAGCCCCAAGAAAATGTTCTGTGATGTCAGGTGAGTAGAATCCTATATAATAAAAGCCTAATATGCTAAGTGTTTGGTCGGCTGTTCAACCAATCAAAGTGTAATATGCTAATAATATGCTAAGGCTGTTCACCACTCGCCATGACATGCACTGACCACCAGGAGGCAAATGCTCAATGAAGGAAATGCCCA